AAATTTTTCCGAACCGTCATCATAATTAATATTTTCTCTTAACTCAACTAAATTTAAAAAAATACTTTTTTTTTTTTTTTCTTTTTTTTACTCTATCCGTTCTGAAAAACAACACTCAATAAAGCTGTCTAGTGTGTGAGAATTGAAAAATCATCTATGATACTATTCGAAATTTATATAACAACTTGTGCATTTTTACTACTTAAATGTTTCCTAAGAAAGTCTTAAGTTGATTAGAAGAACTAGATAAAGCATGTGTTAATCAGGAATTAATAAATTTTATCGCTGAAAAGCAAGATGTTGTTCATGAAAATTCTAGAATCAATTTCGAAGAAGAAAAAGATATATTTTTTTGTTTTTAGTTATCAAAATCTGGATTTTTTCATATTTATTTACTTAGCTAGCTATCATCGAGGAGAAACACAGCAATATGCTATAAAACATCTGTTAACATAGTGTGTTTTTATTTGAAGTTTAATTTAAAAGATATATAAAGTATGAAACTCGACTTGATATAATTTTTAATTTAGTTTGTTTTTACAACCGCTTGTCAGTTTGTCTTTCTCTCTCGTGTCAAAACTATGATTAGTAAAAGGATGGATGACTACTTCACAAGATCGGACTACAACTATGGTGTTTTTCATATTTGTCTACGTTTGTTGAGTGAAAGTTACTAGATGCAGTTTATTTTAAAGGATGAATCATTTCTGATAGAATGAAAAGAAATATGTAATGAAGAGGTGCAGAATATATGTAGTGGACAGTGATATTGTGCTCCATTCTCATCGCGTGAAAGTTATCACTCTTTGCTCAATGAGAACAAGGAATAATAACATACTCATACGGTGTGGACTGAGTTGTGTTGCTTGTTGTACCTTAATTCTGTCTTTCTCAACGAAAATCACCTAACGATACCCTTGAAACCGGTCGTGGTATCTTGTTTTGATTCTATAGAAATGAGTTCTGTTTGAGTCTCTGTTAATTGATAAACGGTTGTAAAACTAAACTAAACTAAAATTTAAAAAGTGTTTCCTAAGAGATTTAATTTTTTTGAGGAAGGAGGGCGATATTTGTAAATGATTGCATAAAACTCGACGATGGTTGAAATAAAAATCTTCAATAACAATACTTTTGTTCGTGTTGAGAAAAATCTTTACTCTTCTATCTTTTTCTCTTGTATTTAGAAAATTATGACATAGAACACTTTCTATTGATGATTATTTCAATGGAAAACAACAGATAATTAATGTCTAAGCAGCCATTATTGTGGCAATTATTCATTTATCGATTAGGTAAATTTTTCAAAACGCGATTTTTACTAGCATTATTCGGTCTTATATTAATTTTATCATTTATATATTTACAAAATTTCAATTATCATCATTCTTATTCTGATTCTAATCAATTAAAACAATCTCAGTTAGTGAATAGTAAAGTGAAGAGTGGTGAAGTTGATTATCATCCAATTAATTGTGATTGGTCCGATCATGATTTTCTTCTAAAATATAAACGTCACCAGCAACTTGTTGGCGATGCTGAACGTGCTCGTCCAACTCTGTCTCGTTTAAAATCATTAATTTCCATTCTCATTTCGCATGAAGATAAATTTCATTCTATATTTGAGTATTTTGGTATATTTCGTTTCAATAACATTTATACGTTTAAACCGTTTGCTAATGATACGTCAATTTTAAATGAAATATTATGTTTATTGAACAAGTATATAACCGTGTCGGATAATGGTCACATTGATATCCGTCCAGAATTACTTATATACTTGAAACAAGTATCAATTTATTTATCAGATGGTTTCAAACATTTTAAAACTCAATGGAATTTAACAAAGGTATAAAACCGAGTATGAGAAATACATTTGTTTATTTACAATATGTTTGTCATGTTTTAGTCGAAAAATTATCGAAAACCAGTGGTAGTAGTAGCGGCAAATGCAAGATTTTACGATACATTACAAGCATCAATGCGCACCATTCATAAATTCCTAAAAACATATCACGTTGTTGTTTATGATTTGGGATTTGCGTCAGAACAACATGAAATAGTAAGTGTAACGAGAAATAATATCCTTCTTTTGAAATGATAAAGAATGGAAGAACTTGATTCATATAATTATCAAATGTAGAAAATAGACGTGTCTGAAAATTGACTCTGTTGTGAAAGTCTTGTCAGATTAGTCGTTATAACAGAGACCATACAAAATGCAGAGTAGCTAAAAAACAATAGTATCAAATGTATATAGCCTAATTCAATAAAGTCTGCAATATTCACATAGTCGTCCCAACGTTTCAAGCTACTTTTAGTAGCGTTCGATTCAGATTTGTTTGGGCTACAAAACGATATATCGCAATAAATTTTACCGCCTTCATAGATTTAACCTAGCCCCTAAAAAGGAACTAACTCGAACTTTTTGAAAAGCTTGAGTGATTTCTTCGAGCGTTCTATATAGCCATATTTTTGAAAAGTTTATATCATTATAGCTCATTTTGTCACGCAAAAATTTCTCTATCTTTTTATGTGAAAGTTCTTGTTAAGAAGTTGAAAGTTATGAGGAAAGCTTGGGATACAAGATAAATGGCCTTGTTGACGATGGTAATGAAAAATTGTAAGATATTTCTCTCTGCAGTTTTTTAGAAGTTTCGAAAGTTTAAACAGGTTCTGAAGTGACGCGCGACCCATTTCTGATAATTCTAGACGATTTACGCTCAAATTCATATTGGGCCATTTTCTTACAGAAACCGTTGCCCGTCCTTTACTTAAGGAAATGCTTGCAAAACTACACTGTAAGGTTGGAAATTATTTATGAAAAATCCTCGGTGAATTTCAAAGAGTACCTGTAGGAATTGCTCGAGGACTTTCAAGTTTATAGAAAATCGAATTTCCAACAATCTAGAAAATCGTTCTTGAATTTCCATAAATAATTTCCAAGAATCTGGTTTAATTTATGGAAATTCGACTTTGATTTTCTATAAACTGAAAATTCCTCCTCGAATTTCCGTCTACAATTTTCAGACTGCTAGAAATTTGCCAGAGAATTCGCAATTTATAGAAAATCGACGTTGAATTTCTATAAATAATTCCCAAGAAAGTAGAAATTCCTTTTTAATTTTCTCTAAACTGGAAATTCCTTGGCGAGTCTGCACCGAGTGGCGGCGCGATTAGGTTGTATTGGGGTTGACCCCGCCCTCTCGTACTTTTGAGAAATTTCTGATGAACGTTTCCGATTTTAGGACCTTCCTACCGAAACTTCGCGCCACCACTCCCTGCCTGAATCAAAAGTCTTGCTGGCTTAGGCAGAATTGCAATTTAAAGTGGAAACTGTCAAAGCTTATTCTGATAGTGTAAAATGAGTGTCTTTACGTGACGCTGTTATACCTACATTGGCTGCAAAACAGAAAGGTGAATAGGTAGCTGGCCTAGAAATTCCTGGGCAAATTTTCACTTGCTAGAAAATCGATCGAATTTCTATAAATAATTTCCAGGAAACTGAAAATTCGATATCAAATTTCCAGTTTATAGAAAATCAAAAATGAATTTTCAGATTCTTGGAAATTATTTATAGAAATTCAACAATTTCTATAAAGTCGAAGATTCCTTGAGGAATTTCTATACACTGGAACCGGCGAATTTTGAGTCAATTTTCCACAAACTAGAAGTTAATTCAAGATTACAGTGTATGAAGCACCGTATAAAATAACTCTGCTGCATACCATTCTGAATGAAAGAGAAAAGATCTGGAAAGTTTCTTTTTCGAAGCTCGACTTAAAGAAATAGAGTAAAATTTTGTTTGTTTTTCTACCTATTACACAAATTGCACCGAACCCAATTAAATTTTATCATGATCAAGTGGCTTAGATGGATGGAAACATTGCGTAGTGGAATAAGCGTGGAGTTCCAAAACTGCCATATTCTACGATAAAAATATTTCATCAGATTACGTACCGTACAGTTAATCTAGTATATGTCAAATTTTAATGCGAGAATAACTAAACACGTTCGACGACTGCTTGATTAATCGAGTGTTTATCTGCATGCTGAAACATTAATATCGAATCCGTGCGATCTAATTCATGAATTAACATCGTTTATCAAGAAAATAATTTCACTTTTATAAACTGTAAAAATTCTGCATGTTCTAAATAATGTATAGATTAGGGATGAGCGGTAACGGTAATGTAACGGTAACAGTAATTTAACCGTAAGAAAATTTTTTATCGAAGTTTACCGCGGTACAAGTTTGAAGTTTTTATCGTAAGCGGGTAACGGTAAAAAAATAATTTTTACCGAACTTCCATTTTGACTTTTGAATAAAAACATTAATCATACAAGCTTCGATAATTTACCTTCGGTAACAGTAAAAAAAATTTTTACCGAAGTTTACCGCGGTAAAATTTTGAGATTTTTTACTGGTTTTAAATTGCCGCGGTAAAAATCTGATATTGGTACCGAAGCGTCGGTAACGATAACACGTTTTTACCGTTACCGCTCATCTCTAGTACAGACGTAATAGTCAGAAGTGTGGGCCTGATGTATTTGCTATTTCATGACGAAAAAGTAGGATGCGTTATTGTTTTAAAGTTTTTGTTATTGTTTTAGATAAAAGAAAATTGTGAAAGTCATGGTAATCGATGTACGATGATCAAATTTCCATTTGATATTATTGAACCAATATCTCCGCATATTCGAGCTTTAGAAAATTTTGCATGGAAACCATTGGTTATTCAGGTGCGAACTGTTCAAAACACAGAACTACCGAATTGATTTAAAGCAACGTACCATTCCGAATGATCACCCTTCTCAGGAAATTTCTCAATATATCACATCTAATCTTCATCAAATTTTGATGATATAAAACGAGAAGAGCAGATCATGACAAGAAAAAATATTTTGCTCTTTTAGATTTTTCGAATCGATTGAGATGATACTGAGCCAAACAGCAGTCTTCATTATTTAAGAATTAGAGAGTCGAAATGGTTTTAATTAATATCTTGAATTTGGCGGAGTCACTTCTTTAAAGTATCACACTTCGGGTTATTGAACGTTTATAATACAAACAAGTGATTACTTTCTACAAAGGAGAGTTTCCAGGAAAGGTTTCACACTGGGACATCTTTCAGGTATATTCAAAGGAAAAATGTTTTCGTATTATTCATAATTATACCAAAACAGCCGTATTTTCTCAACAAAAAAATGGCTTTCATCAGGGAGAAAGTAATTATTAACTAATCACTAGTATACTAGCAGGAATCCCAAACGCTCCAGTTTGAGCTATAAACTTTTCCTGCAGACTATTAGATGAGTTGCATAAAAGTGTAATTATTTCCATAAGTTTTTATTCGACTAACTCGTAGATTGTTTATTTTAGGATGCTCTGAAACGTTATGGAACCGTCATTTATGGTGATACATCAGTTCGCTATAAAATACGTGAATTTGATCATCTGTTAATGGATAATGCTATTCGAGGATTTGCTTGTCGAGAATTACCCGGTCATTATCTGCCATGTTTTACATTGAGTGACACATTTTCATGGTTTAACGAGTCTTATTCAACATTCAATGATGTTTATATAGCTGAAGCGGGTTTTATAGTTGTTCAAGATAATTTTCTATCGCGAATGATAATGAAAGCGTGGACTACGTGTGCTTTGGATCCTAAATGTTTAGTACCACCTAATTCAAAGACGAAATGTAAACAACCAGGTGTAGCACATGGAACACATCGTTTTGATCAAAGTGCAATGGTAACTGTTTTAACATTTTTCTTCTATCAGAGTCAACGTATTAATGATAGAAATGAGCCAGCACCATAGTAAGTGTTTAATTTAACTATGAATTTATTCACTACACTAGTATCGGTATATGAATATTTTAGCGATATGTTTTCATCTATTCAGCAACAAATAGCAGAAGTACGACGATTTGAAGGTGATAGTTCTTATTTTACAAGAAAAACAAAAACGTCTTCAACTTCAGCGACTAATAGATAACAAAATAATACATAATCGAGTTTTCTTAGTTTAACAAGTCTTTTTATGTCAGATGTAATTAAAAAGAATTGAGAGTTTACTTTTTTCTTTAAAACATTTGACACTCTTCATCGAACAGTATGTAATGTGTGTGTCAACTCTAGAAACAATTAAAGTTAAAAACTGTGTTAAATATTTTTATTCTCTAATTTCTCTTTATAAAAAAAAATGAGCTTATTACATTTTAGCTTATGTATGAGAATGAATAATACAGGAGCTGTGTATTACTGTGATAAAAAATAATTTTTATGTATTTTATTTATTTATTTATTCTTTATTTTGTACTATAATTGTTACTCGATGTTGCTTCTGTTATCAGATATATCAAAAATAAATCATGTCGAATAACGAACTAAATCATAATTTTGATATTTTTCAATCGGTAGACGAAAAGATCTCTCTTGAATGTTAAAATGTAGTTTTTTTTGCGCAAGTTCTCTCTCTCTCTCTCTCTCTCTCTCTCTCGCTATAAGAGTATAAAACGATGTTTATATATTAACAGCAATCAGCAGGTTAACATGTGAAGTCTCAATACGCAATAGAACCGATAAGGATAGCATTTTCAACATACTCGATGTCTTGAATTATTCGAAAATATTGTTTGTGATCAAGACATATATTAGAAAAGTGGCTCATGTGACAAAAACTTTTTAACATGGGCCGTTCCTCATACTTTAATTGGAAGATAAACTACATTTAATGTTTGATTGATAGCGAATGTTTAAAAAATCAAAATAGTTAGATGAATTTACTTAACTCATTATAACGTTAATATTAAGAGTTGAGATGTTACAAGTATTCCAAACTGAAAACAAAATCTATAGTAAAAATAAATTATTCAAAACAGAATATCTCTTAAAGAGAATTCAATTTATCTTAACATATGGTGCAAAAGTAATGGTGTAAATGTCAGGCCGTATTTGTTAGCGATGGAGCGTCGGATCACTTTGAAGTTTTTGTTTGTTTGAAAGAACAAAGTCTAGAGATCAAATATGTCTGGTAAACAATTTTTTATTTATCCAATTTGAATAGTACGACAACATTTTTTCGATTGATCTCAAAATGGGCTAATTTTTCTTTTTAAAGAGAAATTAGAGAATAAAAATATTTAACACAGTTTTTAACTTTAATTGTTTCTAGAGTTGACACACACATTACATACTGTTCGATGAAGAGTGTCAAATGTTTNTTTCATCCTGAGCAGAAAAGCTTTCAAAACTAAATAGATGAGAATGTAGTTCGTGCAAAACTCTATCGATCCCTCTACTTTCTGAAAGTTCCTTAATAGTAAAAAAAACTTAGTTTTAGCAGAAAAGCAGAATGCCTATCATTTACCACAAATTCTGGTTCCCTAAAACAATCGCTAAATTATATCCACATTTGTGGATATTTCAACAATTAAGGTCAGTTCTGGTCACCAAGTAGGGATTTTAATTTAGAGATATTTTTAGTATAAGATAAACCACATATACAGTAATCCAATACCATCCTAGTACCTATACCATAGTTAATACCTGTTATTCATTAGTTTTATAACACAAATCTCATTCAAATGTTGTGTTCTTAAACCATGATCTGGTCACCAGATTCAAAATACAATGCAGAAGTTTAAATCTTATCCTTTTTTTTGTCTTCTTATCTTATCAATTTTATCTAGTTATTGTAATTCATTTAAAAAACTAAATCCGATATTCTCTTTTAAAACAAAGTAGTGATCAAGTCTAGAAAACAGTGTGTCAGAGATGAGCAAGCCTTTCGCTATGAAGGAACGGTTAATTTTGCAAGCTCACTCTGCAGCTCTACTTTAATTCTATTCTGGTCACCAGATGCAAATTTTTATCATGAGACTGTGAGTTAAATATTTGTCTTATCTGAAGAGTTTATCATAACTTTTATTTACAATGCTCACGCTTTAGGTAAGAAAATATAGAGAATAAAT